GTTACTCCCGTCTTCGTGTTTCTAGTTGTCCATTCACCGAGAAATTTTATTACTTCTTTATTTGTATTTGTGGCGACGATTGGGATCAAACCTGTGAACTTTATATACTAGATTAGTCAGCCCACGTTAACCATAAGCAGCTCAGTCTTGTGGTTAGCTCAGTAGTCTAGTATTCCGATGGCCTTGGGTTTGATCTTATTAATAATAAACGTAATAAAATATCAGTTTGATGACAACCTGTGACTTAAAGTCAGGAGTATAGTTAGTTGTCGAAACGTCGTGTGTGTCAAAAATGTCGGCATATCAATGGCGAAGCGTGATTTCTTCAAAAGTGTTGGCCGTAACCCGAGGAGGGAGGCGTGAAAAAATTGATAATTGAGTATGTACTTTGTAGCGTGTTAACAGTCGCGGTTTGGCTAACATCTTATGTTAGAAGATCGTGCAGTCCTTCCATCCATCAAGCCTACACTTTATCGTGTATTTTCTAATTGTGAATGTAAACCTGAACTAGGTGCCCAGCAACGCCTGTGATGGCTAACGATGTATTTTTCCGATCGGTTCTGCGGTGTTCCAGTGTTTGAAGTACCACTGAACCATGAAAATAATCCGTGTTAGTTTCAGCGTTCAGAAGTGTTAGCCGGACTAACACGATTAGGATACCGACATTATTTTCTGGAAATTCTGCTCAACCAACGTTAACAACATCACGAAGTTCGTCTGAGTGTAGCACAACACTGCTCAGTTCGGTTTCCAAAAATTAAGAGTACTTAACCAAAAGTCACGTACTTTACAGGTCTGCTACGTTAAATCTTTATATTTTTTCTATAGTTGTTCAGTTTCCCTTTCGCTGTATTTCCTTTTCCTCGCTTCATTCTCTTGCTGTCTGGGATTCCCAGGAAGAACTCTGCTCCATGGACTTTGTCGGTTAGTTATTTTCCACTTCCTGTCTTTTCCTGCATCTTTTCTTATTCTTCTTTCTGCGTTTCCTGTTTTCTTTCTAATAACAGGGAACAGACGGGACTAGAACCTGCTTCTTATGACGGAAGAGAGAAGAATTCAGGCTTTATTAACATGGGCAACGATATGGCACTGTCTGTCTATCTATATTTGTTCTATAAGTGTATATGTAAATGATACTCTCTTTGGAGTGCAGTGGCTGGAAATAAATCGGTTCTGCTGTGTTAATTGCTAGCGTTTACCAGACATCCACTGGTTGATCTTGTTTTGGTCTGTTTTATTGTTAAAAGGTTTGCTGTGGCAATATTTATGTTGAACTGGATCGATTCGCTGTGAGTGCTGCTACTGTTTTGTGTGCCTGTTCACATTCATTTGTAACGGACCTCATTGACTAGCCTATCACGAGAGTGAAAAACAGTTGTCGATGGAGCGTGTCTGAGACAACGGCGAGAAAACCTTCTGGCGTATTTATCATCGTGTTCCTGCATATTTAAAACGCGTATATGTAGTGTCCCATAAGTTCCGGGTCGTAGGAGAACTCTTGTTTCTTGGTAAAACACGTACAAAGTAAACATTTTTAAAAGTGAGGTGTTTCCAGTCTCAGATGTTGGAAGTTTTACCTAGGACGAGCTGATACGGAGTTACATTCTTTACAATATTAGGAATAAAAAATTACAGCGATGTTGTCACGTTGACATTACAGAGAAAAAGGGATGTTTCTAGAGTAGGGGAAGCAGTGGCTAAGGAGACAGGTGCTACAGAAAAATCTAGAAATACACCCCAGTTTCGGTTGTCTGCGAACGTAACATCGTCGTAATACCACGAGTACGGAAACACAAGACAACCAGAACAGGGAGTTTTGAAACCGAATGGAAACTTTCGACATAGCCTTTGGCTTCGTTTGCATTTTATAAATTTAGTAGATAAGGATGCCCCATAAGTATGGGGCCATATGATAACTTGATTATAAGTTCGGGGCCACAGGAGAATTCTGTTACTCTGCAAAAAAAAAAAGTTTTTTAAATGACGTGGGTAGCGAATTTGTCGTTCCCCAAGTTATCCGGATGGAAAGATGCGTGTTCTGACTGCGATGAGGTCAGTTGTTCACGTCCTAGCTTGACCTTTCATTGTGTAACATATTAGGTTTTACGTCTATTCAACGGTTTCCATACGTTTTATATTTAAACTACGTTTAATTGATTTGCTTACTGCATATAGTTTACGAGTTTCTCATTTGTGTTTTTTAACAGTGAGAAACATCATCTTCACATATATGCATTACCATAATACCTTACTAATTAAAATCGTGACCCGCTATCTAAACCAGTGTTTCGTCATATACAGTAGATTAAAATGTTTGTTTAGGGTCTTAATTCTGTTATTGCTAATACATTTTTCTGTCTATTTATTAGTAGAACACTAAATGTTTAACTATAAAATACAGCCAGTCTTATTTCTGTTCCAGAGGCATATGGA